GACACCATCAGCAACAAAATACTATGAGAGACAACGAAACAGATTCAAATAAGGGAGGAAATCGGGATGAGGCGGTGGAATGTGTAGGACACATACTACGAAATGCACCTAACTCCGTCATAATACAAGCGCTCACTTAAATTCATCTAGGATAAAGGTAAAATGGAAGGTCAAGAAACATATTACACCAAGAAATAGAGAAAGACATGAGAATAATCAACAAAAATAGGGAAGATTTGAAAGGACATATTTCGTTGGAGAAAAAAGATCGGTGGCCTTTGCTCCGTTTGGTGTAATAGGCGGAAATAAGTAAGTAAGTTAGCAATTTTTTCTAATGATTGGAGACAGGCGACGATGTTGAACTCTTCGTGGTTGTTACGTCCAGTTTTTTGCCCGTTGATCCTACGAAGCACGGCTGTTGAACTATTTGTAATTCACGGTCCCCAATTGTTTAAACCAAGAACGAAACTCCAAAGTAGATACCAAGGTTTATTCCAAATCACAAATTCGACCAAAATACTTTATTACAAATAGACGACCAATGTCGTTCCAACAACAATAATTATAATAATTACAATTACTTTCTAATTTATTAGCTCTTGGAGCAAAAAACTGCAAAAGAACAACCAAGAGAAACAGGAGTCCAAAATGTCCGCAAAAAATAATTCAAACAAGTTCATAAGTTAAGTAAAACAAATATACCCAAAAAACAGCGAAATTAATGATTATATATATAAAGGTTTGATCAGCAAAATGTCTTCGTTTCTCCCGTAACACTCCCGACCAAAAGAACCTTGGTTCTTTTCACCGACAAAAATAGATAACAACAATCCAAATATGTGCATCACAAGCAATCAACAACAAGCATGCAATATGTCAACAATCTCGCGATCCCTAGGACTTACACCAGTACGCCTAGGGATCCGAGTAGCTACCTACCATCTACCGCTTCAAGAAGACACAGTTTACGTATATCTCTCACTAGGATCCCCTTTCTCGTCCTTAGTTCCACCTGTCTCACTAGTCTGTCCTTACTTGGTATCACTCTCTGTACTAGACCTAAGGGCCACTTGTTTTTCTCAGAGAAGTCAGAGCATATCATTACTAAGTCACCTTCTCGTATGTTCCTCTCTAACTGTGTCCACTTGTATCTACGCTGCAACCAACGTTTTCAAAATACTTGCGCCAAGTAACTCGCTTGCTTCCATCTCTTAGAATACCTGTCATTAGATACAGTGTCGGTAAATTCTGCAACATTCTCTCTCAATAGTAATAGTTTTGCTGGTGTTATTGCATCAAGATCCCTTGAGTCGTCTGTAACGGGAACCAAAGGTCGATTGTTTATTACACGCTCCGCCTCTATCATAAAAGTTTCAAGGCATTCATCTGTTAAAATTTGTTCCTTTACAAGAGCACCCAATACCCTACGTACAGAGCGAATCATGCGCTCCCACACTCCTCCCCAATGACTAGCGGCTGGAGGATTGAAATGACAGTCAATTCCTTTTCTTAGTAAATCAGAGTGTATACGCTCCTGAACCCAACCTTGAAGACATTTTCTTAATTCACGTTCAGCTCCCACCAAATTTGATCCATTATCACTATATATCTCTTTTGGATAACCTCTTCTGCCGACAAATCTCATTAGTGCCATGATAAATGAGTCAGTGGTAAAACTATATGCCACCTCTAGATGCACAGCTCTCAACCTTAAACAAGTGAATACACAACCGTACCGCTTCTCAGTATTTCTACCATGTTTAACCATAAGGGGTCCAAAATAATCTACTCCAACAGATAAGAACGGATAGTCACAACCTTCTATCCTGATCGCAGGTAATGGTGCCATTAGTTGTTGAATTGGATGAGCGTTCCTCCTTTTACAATAAACACAATCCTTTATCACTCTCCTCATGGCTACACCACCCCTCAGCACCCAAAATCTTTCTCGGACCGTTGCCATTACCTGTGTAGCTCCGACATGTCCCTCCAAAACATGGTAGTACCGTAGAATCAAATCTGTAATTGTATGCTTCGATGGTAATATTATAGGATGCTTCCTCGACTCAGACCAGGAACTAATTTGAAGTCGGCCACCGACACACAATAAACCGTCTATAATTATTGGATTTAAGGTTCGTAAGGGTATATTTGTTATTTTTACTTTGCTAATGGTATCAGACGACAATATTTCAATCTCTTTCCGAAATACTATGCTTTGGACATATCGAATTAAATCTAAACATGCTACATCTAGCTCATCAACTCTGAGCATACCCACCTGTAGAGACAGATCATTTCTGCCAGAATACATTATTAATAAATATCGCTTAAATCGGATCAACCATGCAACAGCCTTAAGTAATCTAGTCCAATCTGAATAATAATTATTAGGCAGATCAACGGTGGATTCTCCAATTATTACATGCGTGGACATTACCTTCTTTAATTCTAATAGATGGGGTTCAGGACCTTGTACATCCGCTTCAGGCCAATACTCCTTCGACTTCTTCAAAAAATGTGGTCCCTCCTCCCATACCTTGACATCATCAATGTTGAACTTGGCTCCTCTGGATGCAAAGTCTGCTATGTTTTCCTTAGAAGGTACAAATCTCCATTGGTCCACTTTTGTAAGACTGTGGATAGTCGAGACCCGGTTGGCTATGAATGTTTTAAACTGGCATTTCTCATTACTAATATAATGTAAGACAATCATGGAATCCGTCTAAAACACAACTTCTGCAAACTTGATATGTAAATCAGACTGCAGCTGGGACCCCATACGCGCAGCTAACACTGCTGCCGTAAGTTCCAAGCGTGGTATAGTTTGAATCGTTCAAGGGGTTACTCTTGCTTTAGCCGTAATAAGACGAGAACATATTTCAGTGTCATCGATGTGAGAACGGATGTATGCCACTGCCCCATATCCAACTTCCGAGGCGTCACAGAAAATATGAAGTTCCAGGAGCGAGCGATCTGACTGTGGGAATAATACACAGCGTGGAAAACTAACGTTCTCAACCCTCTGAAATCCACTTAAAATCTGTAACCAGCGTTTGCCTTCCTCACTTGGAATCTCTTCGTCCCATCCTAGTCCCAATTTACTCAAACGCTGAAGTAACTGCTTCATAGGAAGTGTGAATGGTGCTAACAATCCCAAGGGGTCGTATAATGAAGCTACACTCGACAATATACCTCGCCTAGTGAGAGGGCATTTCGGTATGCGAACTTTAAATTCAAACGCATCAACCATAGTATTCCAAAATAATCCCAATGTGCGTTCCGTAGGAAGTCTCTCAAAGTCAATCTCTTTTACGGCTTCTGCTCTCTCTTCTGGATTAATTGATTCGAGAACCTGTAAACAGTTACTTATCCACTTAGTAAGTCTGAACCCACCTTTTCTGAGTAGTAAACCAAGGGTTTTTGCAAGCTCGATTGCATCCTGCACATTATCAATTGATGTTAAATAGTCGTCGACATAGAAACTCTTATCTACAACTTCCTGGACATCTTTACTCAATTCCCTTCCGAATATATCTACCGTTTTCCGAAGAGCGAAATTAGCGCAAAAGGGAGAGGACACGGCTCCAAACGGATGAACTGTCAAACAATATTCTTTAGCCTTTCGTCCTATATCACCGTCTTCCCACCATAATGGTCGAAACGCTCCCCTGTCTCGTTTCGGAATCTTTACTTGAAGGAACATCTCCTCGATGTCAGCGGCTAATGCTACGTTGCATAATCTGAATCGTAGAAGTATACCAATTAAACTATTTACAGTATTAGGTCCTCTCAAAAGCTGATCGTTAAGAGAACAACCTTGATAGACAGCTGCACAATCAAAAACAATTCTTAATTTTCCAGGCTTTTTAGGGTTGATAACAGGATGATGAGGAATATACCAACAAACAGCATCACGGTCGAATTCCTCCTTACGAGCTTCAATGATGTAGCCTTTGCTTAAATGTTTACTCATTACAAGTTGATATTTCTCCAGAAGACTATTATCCTTCATAAACCTCTTCCTTAAACACTCTAGTCTACGTTCAGCTAGTTCCAAATTATTCAGTAGCCTTGGCTTATCATACTTCCAGGGTAGACCAACTTGGAAATGGCCACCTTCCAGTCTAAAGGAGCTATTAACTCTTTCTAGAGCTCTTTTATCTTCGACAGAATATTCATTACGAAACCCATCTGCGTCCTCGAATTCATGATTATATAATCTTTCTATATCTCGCAAAATATCATTAGTAGAACAATGACACCACTGAACTTGATGTAAAGACCTCGATGCTTCTTTAGGACCTAAAATCATTCAACCGAGATGAGTATGCACACCAAACGGATGCTTCCTGTCTCCCAGGCGTTGTTCAAGGACCCAATGTGCATCTGGAGCATCACACCCAATCAATATTCCTCGATAGAGTTATGTCCCTTAAATGTTTCCACTTTCTCAACTGCAGTTCAGTTATAGGCTCTGCATAATCGATCGGACGTTTCTTGGTCGTATAGGCCTTGTTGATCTTTATAGAACCCCGCTCATCTAATGAAAATACCTCTGAATTTACTTCCAGACATTCACAAGTAGAAGTTCCATTCACAGTCGTCACCTTTATTCAAGTCTCCTTACCTTTGAGACCTAACCGATTAACTAACTCTTCGCATACAATAGAGGTATCTGAACCATTGTCTAGAAGAGCGTATGTTTCCAGACATCCTTTGGGGCCATATGGTCTAACCGGAACGATACCCAAACAAACCTTTGGGAATTTCCAATCCTTAGCAAAATTCACTACATGTTTGTTAGAAGCATCAATATGCAATAATGGATTATGCCGAATCTTGCAATTATCAACGTCACACCTTGTGTCTGAGTTACACGACTTGGCTATGTGACCCTTCCTTAAACACAAGTAACATAGACCACGCTTTCTCACTTCCTGCCTCCTCTCTGTAACATTCATTTTTGATAACTTCATACAGTCTTTCTCCTTGTGATCACCAAAACAAATTTCGCAACTTAAAGCCTTGAATGAGTTACTTGGTTCCCTCTTAACCACATTAAAGCGTGATCTCTTGTCAACTCGGCCTTCATAATTACCTTTACGAAACCTTGAGTTACAATGTACCAATCTACCAAAACGTGATCGCGCAATTCTGGCTCTTTCTTCTACAAACATCACTAATTCTTCAAATATCGGCTCTCTACCGGTCATCATAATCCTATCAGCAGCTTCTACCCATTTATTCTGTAATTCCAAGGGTAAACGTGACACAATTATTTCCAAATTAGCCGTGGAATTCACATCAGACATATACCCCATTTCCTTCAATGTTATACATACATTACGTAACTTAATTGCGAAGTCAGTTAGGCTATCGGCGGATCCTTCAACAGATTTGTGGCTAAGTAATTCGGTAATAAGATTACGGGCAACAAGATGTTCTTTACCAAACAAATCATACAAAATTTCCTTAGCCCTATCGTAACCCAAGTGACTGGGCAAAGAAATACAAGCTTCAATAGCCATTCTGGCCTTTCCTGTACAATAGTATGACAAGTACGACAGCAACAGGCCCTTGTCAGACAGTTTACTCTCTATAATGCTTGTAAACTGACTGATAAAACGGTGGTACTGGCTTGGTTGTCCGTCAAAAAACATCATATCGATTTTAGGCAAAACTGTATTATTAACCGTGTCCTTTAATTCATCAATACAATCGCATTTTGAGGCGTTAATTACATTATTACGCGCAATATCACAATCCAAATCCCTTTCGACCTTAGAATTTATCTCAGCTTAGTCTACTGACAGTTAGTTATCGTTTTCTATAAGCTTACATTCTAATTCAGCCATATCAACTTCCTCTTGAAGCTCTAACATTTTAAGCTGCTTTTCTAACTCAAGTCTCTTTTCCAAATTCTTCTTCTTAATTAATGCCTTATCTAACTTCAATCTAGAAGTACTAAACTGAGAGGAAGACTTACTATTAACACTAATATCATCAAGTTTATCATCATTAACATCAGACATACCACAAACAGCTTTAGAAAATTTACCATCCATTTCGTCCTGCTCCTTCAGCCTTTTGCTTCTAGTTTCCATTGTATGTTTTTATTCGAAATCGATTACCAAGCAAATGTGAGATTAATCCAAGCGTATTCGGCCAATAATAACAAAATGTCCAAAAGTATCCAAAATATAACCAAAGAACCAAAATTGAATTGTCCAAAGTATCCAACGACCAAATTAAAAGTTAGAAGAACCTTTGGACCCAAATTTCCAAAAGTATCCAACGACCAAATTTGAATTGAAGAACTTCTGGAGCCAAACGACCAAAAGAATCCAGTTTATGACAAATTTAAATTAGAAGAACTTTTGTTACGTCCAGTTTTTTGCTCGTTGATCTTACGAAGCACGGTTGTCGAGCTATTTGTAATTCATGGTCCCAAATGTTTAAACCAAGAACGAAACTCCAAAGTAGATACCAAGGTTTATTCCAAATCACAAATTCGACCAAAATACTTTATTACAAATAGACGACCAATGTCGTTCTAACAACAATAATTATAATAATTACAATTACCTTCTAATTTATTAGCTCTTGGAGCAAAAAACTGCAAACGAACAACAAAGATAAACGGGAGTCCAAAATGTCCGCAAATAATAATTCAAACAAGTTCATAAGTTAAGTAAAACAAATATACCCAAAAAACAGCGAAATTAATGATTATATATATAAAGGTTTGATCAGCAAAATGTCTTCGTTTCTCCCGTAACACAGTTTCTCGACGACAGGAGTAGACTACTTTGGACCCCTTATGGTCAAGAAAGGTAGGTCACTAGAAAAAAGATATGGATGTGTGTTTACCTAGCTACAGACACGAGCAGTTCATATTACGATGACATACAGCCTGAAAACCGATTCATTTATAATGGCTTTGATACGTTTTATCGGAAGAAGAGGGAGGCCAACAGACGTGTATGGTGACAATGCATCAAACTTCGTGGGGGCAGTCACTGAACTAAAAAGCTTCGTGCAACAGTGGAATCAGCAGCAAATAAGTGAGGAGTTATCACCAAGACAAGTTCAATGGCATTTCAACCCTCCACTAGCCAGCCATAGAGGTGGAGTTTGGGAACGGATGATTAGATCTATAAGTAGGCTGCTATTGTCGATCAGCAGGTGTTAAAGGACGAAACCTTGGGCACCTATCTGGTTGAAATTGAGAGAATTCTAAACGACCGACCTCTAACCCCGTTAGTCCTGGATGTTATTGACCGAATAGGTCTATCAATAAATAGCCTACTGTTATTGAGGGAATGTGACGGAAATACTGAGGAAGGAAGCAACGGAAACAAGTTCCACAAACGTTGGAAGCAGGTAAATTATTTAGCTAATGTATTTTGGAAAAGGTGGCTAAAAGAATATTTGCCGTCCTTACAAACTCGTCAAAAATGGCTAAAAGAGCATCGGAATTACCAGAAAGGAGACGTGGTGATTGTCGCCTCGGATATTACTACTCGTGGACAATGGCCCTTCGAAATAGTGAGACGAATCGTGAGACGAATAAGGACGGAAAAGACAGAACGGTAATCGTCCGTACAAATAGTGGGGCAGTGAGGAGAGAAACACGAAAGGTGTGTCTCCTAGAAGGGTCGAACTAGATAAGTCATATCCATGCTGGAGGGCGGGTAGGCGTACTGCTGTAATACATACTCGTTCCTACGGTGTGGATTAGGGGATGAGAGTGAACCCTAAATTGAAATGTCAGAAAGGGCCCGTTTTGCATGGACGGATTTTGCGGGCCGGTGTAGAATCTATTTTCAAGGTTTCATTTTCGGAAAATCCCTCCATGTATATATTTGCGTTATGATGTGACTGACTCTTTCTGTTGATATTTTGGTACTTTATTTGATTCCATTTTGAGATTTCATCATTGTATATTGTTACTTTTTCTATATCTTGTACTTAAATTGAAGTTTTTATGTTTCCTTCTGAACTGAAACTATGTTGTTTAAATTTGATATTTAATATGGCTACAGCCATTTTTGAATTTGATACCCCAGCAGTAACGGACTGGAAGCATTTATTCTTCCAGAAACGGAACCCATTGTGGTAATTGGAAACTTGAAGGTGTGATATCGTTTAGGTAATTGTCTGTATTTCCTTTTTATTGCCTAACAGAACCGTTTTCTCCCAAAATTCTTGTGTTTTGGTTTCGGATCCGGGGGGAGCGCGTACCAAACTGCACCTATTCGAAACGGAGTGAACTGTTAGAGTAGAATATCCATTTACAGTCCAAACAATAGAAGATCTTGGAATTTTCATCGTTTACAATCACAAACACTTCCTGGAAGAAGAACTTTTGGATTACTTATTATTTAATTTGTTTAAACAGTATTTTGGAAAGACGATCTTTTGTTTTTTTTGATTTCTCATTGACGAAGAAGATTTAACGGTGAAATTTTATATTTGATCTTTAT